CCCCAAAACCCCAAAACCCCTTGATGATCCATTAATACCATATTAGTATAAATTTTATCACAAGATAAATTAATTATGTTTAAAGTTATTCTTTGAGTAGTTCATGATCTTGTCCTCGATCTCTCTTAGATATTACTCCTTTGCTATAATTTTATTTTGATCTTAATCTTGCATTAGACAGTTATCATTCTTTATAGTATTTTAAAGTTTAAAAATCTAATCGTAATCTGAATCACTTAGATTCTTAAATATCTACAATTTCAGAGGTAATACTCTCTTTTGTATCATATCAAAGTTTGTTGGGTTCTTGAATATATAGTAAGTTTCATAGAAATCAAGAATTAACTTTATCAAAAGCCAGTCTTGCTTTAGAAATTTATCTGGATTTTCTTTGTTCTATTTCAAATCTTATTTAAGTGTTTTTATTGAAGGAAAGGTTTTAACCATCTTAACAAATATATCAGTCTTTAATCTATCATTCTTGAAGTTATTTGCTTAACTCTCCTCAAAATCTTTGTGAACAATTATAAGTTTCTTGAGTGCAAGGATACCACTAATGCTATTAGGTACAATTAAATTTGCCTTCAAATCAGTGAATATTTATTTACAAATGCCACTGAAATAGCATTCTTTATCCAAAATTAAAAGTGATGGATGATCTCCAAACTCAAGTAAGGGAAGACTGTCTTCCTCTAGTAAATCCCTTGCAAACTACCATCTGATCTAAGAACTTGTATTAGCTTGTGATTCTGATTATTGCCTGCTTGGCAAAAGTAGACCTTTGATGATTTAGAAGAGTTTAAAGCATTTGCAGAGTGGTCCTCGCTTGAGAAGTTCTTTCAATAGTTCTCTGATAAGGTATAGTTAGCAAGTCTACAAAGTTTATCTGCTCAACCACTCCTCCTTCTTGTGAATTTGACTCGTTTTAGATAGATTGCATTATGAAATTAAAATGTTCGTTAATTTTCAATTTCTTATCAAATTTATTCTAATTATCATCATTATAAATCTTTTCTTAAACTTAGATTCTAGGGGTTTTGGGGTTTTGGGGTTTTGGGG